TTTATACTTTATAGTCATCAGAGACGTGTCTGTTATATTTTATACTTTATAGTCATCAGAGACTTGTCTGTTATATTTTATACTTTATAGTCATCAGAGACGTGTCTGTTATATTTTATACTTTATAGTCATCAGAGACTTGTCTGTTATATTTTATACTTTATAGTCATCAGAGACGTGTCTGTTATATTTTATACTTTATAGTCATCAGAGACGTGTCTGTTATATTTTATACTTTATAGTCATCAGACTTGTCTGTTATATTTTATACTTTATAGTCATCAGAGACTTGTCTGTTATATTTTATACTTTACAGTCATCAGAGACGTGTCTGTTATATTTTATACTTTATAGTCATCAGAGACTTGTCTGTTATATTTTATACTTTATAGTCATCAGACTTGTCTGTTATATGACTATAAAGTATAAAATATAACAGACAAGTCTCTGATTTTATACTTTATAGTCATCAGAGACGTGTCTGTTATATTTTATACTTTATAGTCATCAGAGATGGCAGTAAAAATATCGAGGCTACTTTCTTCCATACAATTTTCTCTTTTATTTCAAATGCTTCTGGTTAGTTAATGAAGCCAAGTTTAAACAAGACATTCACGTTATACGTCCTGAAATATCAAGATTGTAGTTTTTACTATTCTACAAACATTTTATTTTCTTCCAAAGTTTAAAAACTTTTAATATTACTTTAAATTGATTGGGATAAGACATTATTTTGAACTTTTAAATAATGTTGATAATATCAATACAAAGAGAGAAACGAGCTTACTTCCTGTTTATTATACAGGATAAGCCAAATACTCCACTCCTAATAAAGATACTAATGACATTAATTCTGTCATAGTTTTCTAGTTTTTCATACATGGGTAGTTACATGATCAAGTACACAAAACAACTTCGATATCAAAAAGAAAGGTTTATTGTGTTACTTATAGTTTAGTTTTCCTTGAATGGACGATTTTCCTATTGGTCACTCGGAATATGTCGAATAAATTCCGAGTAAATACTATAATATTAAAAGAAGATAGATACACACAAACATACAACTGAAATTACATTTAGCCAGTTACATCAAAGTATAAAATTAGAAATTCTGTGGAATATAAGATGAGGTTTCAAAACTGTCCAATCACAACTAGGAAGGAAATGTAGCTTAATTTACTCATTAGGAAAAAGGCCTAAACTAAGAGGTGTATCTTATTACAGGTACAAGTTGGCCTATTAAGGGGAGATACACTGAACATTTCTATTGATTGTTCTGAAGTAAAGGTTCTATAAATGGAACAAGCAATTCCCATTAGCTTGAATACTGCTCAGGAGGTTATAATGCAGAATTTCTATATATTCTGGAAACAAGAGTTGTTTAAGATCCAAATTAATATTGAACTCAAACATCACCAAGGCTGTAGCCCTGAGATATCACCTGAACTACCAGTGAAAGATACTGCTGCCAACATTCCTTGCATGATGTGCAATGTTACAGCGATACTTACCACAGACAAAACAGGTATTATCTCCTTGAGAATAACAAAGGAACAAAGGCAGTTACAACAAAATCTACTTACCAGCTTTCCTGACCATGAGTTATATGAAACCTGCATACATACAAACCAGTCGAGTGAGTAGCGCTAATTGCTCTGTATAAATACAGTGTTTCTTCTGAAACAAGGAAAGTTAGATTTAGTCAGTCTAGAAGAAGAGCAAGCAGTTTAAAAAGAGAATCCACTAACATTGACAGTCCTTCATTCCATCAGAGCAAATGAACACAATATGAATTCATAAAGATCTTTCTCATGACTGTTAAGTATTATTCTGTAAGAAATATCCTAATCGAATTTCCTGTTATGTTGCAGACATATCTCATTGCTCTTAAGTAAATTCAATTTTATCTGGATATACACATATTTAGTACATGTATCTCTTACTTTGTGGATGGTTTAGCTAAAATTTATTTTGATTTATATAGTGTTACATCTTAAGTTTATTGTGAAACAGTTTCATACAGTGCAGTTCTCTACACTGTATTTTAATTTTCATAAACTGTTACATCTTAAGTTTATCATTAAACAGTTTGATACCATGTAGTCCTTTACATTATATTCTGACTTCTACGCACCTTGATGAAGAATACTCAGAGTAAGTATTTTTCAGAGAACAACTATTTTTCAATGAAACAATCAATCACATTAAACACATATATACAATACCTGGGAGGACACTGTAATCTGGGGTCCATGACCACTCTGTCCGTACATATTCTGACTAGAAGCATCACTTCTGATGGCCCCACCTCCTGAAGAGGCTGAAGATTCTGAAGACAGCATTGAAACATTATCAGAAAAAGCTGAATCATTATCTGGGCTGTCAGTTCTAAGCCCAAACTCCTGTTTTTGGACTCGTCCTCCTTCATCCCTTTCCAACATATCTGCTTGAGTCTCAAACTTTGTTCCAGCAGAACTGTAATGACAAGAGAGCTGTTGAACAGCACCGGGGCCTTCTAGGGTCACTCCAGTGGCAGACTTTGATAATCTCAAGCCATCAGTCACTCCCGAAACACTCCTGGCATGGCCTCTAGGCATTTCTGTGTTAATAGTGGACTCAAGAGCACAAAGCTCTCCTAATATTGCATCCAGCTCTCCATCCTGGCTAGCTGCAAATAATTATATTGACATTTTGTAAAGAATAAGACAAAATTACTGTTCTGAAATGCATTTCATAATATTTTTCTGTTATTTCTCAATATGGAGATTATGTCAGAAAATAACTTTAAACAGATTATAAAGGACTGAAACTAACAGTAAAGATTACAGAGCTTTTAAAATAATTGAAATATATTCATGATGTTGAAAAGTGATAAGAATTATTAATACAAATCGATCAAGCCAAACACACAGGACAATAAACTGTTTTCTCTTCTACTTATACTCCTCAGGACTACTGACTTCTGTGCCACTATTTAAAACCAGATGTCTTTAGTAGCACAGTTCAATCGAAACTTACATTCTAAGTTGGCCATAGACAATCTGTAACTGTCCGTTCTTGGGGAAGGTTTTGGAATATTCTGTTTGGCTGCACCTGCTGTCTTATGACTTGGTTCATTATCCACACCCTATCATGATGACAAAAATATTATGTTTTTGCAGTGGTCTTTTCTTAAGCAAAGTTCACTAACAGTTTATGAAAATTAAAATACAGTGTAGAGAACTGCACTGTATAAAACTGTTTCACAATAAACTTAAGATGTAACAGTTTATGAAAATTAAAATACAGTGTAGAGAACTGCACTGTATAAAACTGTTTCACAATAAACTTAAGATGTAACAGTTTATGAAAATTAAAATACATCTTAAGGTAGTAAACAGGATATGTAATCACTCAACTTCTCTGACAACAGAGTGAAACAGGATATGTAATCACTCAACCACTCTGTTGTCAGAGAAAAACAACTTCCTCTAATATTTCATCATTATAAACTTTGCTGTTGGAATTAGCATTTTATAATGTGACTAATCAACTGTTTTTCAAAGAGTTTTATCATTAATCTGTCTCTAAAAATTCTTTGATAGATTGTTTAGGCAGAGTAAACTGGAATAGATTGCAACTGTCTGTTGTAAAAAACCTGTCTTTAAAAATGTTTTTTGTACAGTACTTCATTGTAAGCTCTCTACATTCTATGACATTTCTTCATTGTTTCTATTCAATCCTCACAGAAAGTAGTTCAGCTTACACTTACTTATTGAATTCTCACTTCTGAATACTTTAATCTTATATTTCTGCCACTAACACAAGTTTATTGTGACCATTCTTCTGCCACTAACACAAGTTTATTGTGACCATTCTTCTGCCACTGACACAAGTTTGTTGTGACCATTCTTCTGCCACTGACACAAGTTTATTATGGTCATTCTGCTGCCACTGACACAAGTTTGTTGTGATCATTCTGCTGCCACTGACACAAGTATGTTGTGACCATTCTTCTGCCACTGACACAAGTTTGTTGTGACCATTCTTCTGCCACTAACAAAAGTTTGTTGTGACCATTCTTCTGCCATTGACACAAGTTTATTGTGGTCATTCTTCTGCCACTGACACAAGTATGTTGTGACCATTCTTCTGCCACTAACACAAGTTTATTGTGGTCATTCTGCTGCCACTAACACAAGTTTATTGTGGTCATTCTGCTGCCACTGACACAAGTTTATTGTGGTCATTCTGCTGCCACTGACACAAGTTTGTTGTGATCATTCTTCTGCCACTGACACAATTTTGTTGTGATCATTCTTCTGCCACTGACACAAGTTTGTTGTGACATTCTTCTGCCACTGACACAGGTTTGTTGTGACCATTCTTCTGCCACTGACACAAGTTTATTGTGACCATTCTTCTGCCACTGACACAAGTTTGTTGTGACCATTCTTCTGCCACTG